CCCCTGACGAGGGTGCTCACGCCTCCCCACGATGTGGACAGCCTCCCCCACCTGCGCAAGTTCTCGCCGAGCCAGGTGCCCATGCAGACACGCTCCTCTATCCTTCTGGCGGAGGGGCCGCCCCCCGAGGAGCCCGCGGCCCGGCCTGCCCTCGTCGAGATCCCGCTGAGCAGCCTGGAAGAGCCCACGGCTGAGGATGACGGAGATGGGAGCCCCCCTGGTGCTGAGGATTCCTTAGAAGAAGAGGCATCTTCAGAGGGAGAGCCCCGGACCGGGCTGGGATTCTTCTATAAGGTGAGTCACCTGAGCAGGTGGGGGAGGGGCCAGGTGGGTAGATGGATGGATGGTCAGGGATGGGTGGGCGGGTGGGTAGACAGGCAGTCGCATGGATAGGGCTTTCCCAATGGATGGACAAACAGATGGAACTGGGGGTGGGGTGGGGAACAGAGGTGGACGGGTGGTTAGCCAGGTGGCAGCTGGCAGACAGACAAGGTGTGTATGTCCAGATGGACACGTAGATGGGGTGGGTGGATAGACAGAGGGAGAACAGGTAGTAGACAGTTGGACAGGGCTGGGCGGATGGATGGATGGGTGGGTGACGGACAGATGGACAGGAGTGGGTTTAGACAGATGGGGCTAGGGTCCTCTATGGTATCCCCTCCCTCCTGCTCCCTCCTTCATCCCCTACCGGCTCCCCTTCCTGACTCTTCCATATCCAATCACTCTTCTTCCTGTTGGCATCCCCAGCCTGGGCCACCACTTCTTACCTGGACACCAGCAGTCATGTCCTGATTGGTCTCCACTGCCCACCCCTCACCACACACCAATCCCTGGCCATTTTCAACTGAGCGGTTAGCAAAATTTATTTAAAATGTAAATTGGACCTTGTCACCCCCTTATTTCAAACCCTTCTGTAGGTCCTCTTTGCTCTTAGAATAAGTCTTTCCCATGGCTGTAGGCTCTGCTTGCCCCTGACCTCATCCTATGGCATCCTCCCCAGCTCTGCATCCCAGCCACACTGGCCTCCCTGCTGTTCCACACCTGCTAGGCTTGTTCTGGCCTCAGGGCCTTTGCACTTGCTATTCGCGCTGCCCAGAATGCTCTCCTCACCGCTCACCCCCATCCAGTTCAGTCCTCATCATCATTCTCCGAGGTTGCTTCCTCTGGGAGGCCCCCTCGGTGTCCCCAGGCCAGGATAGGTCCCTACCCACAGTGTAGACTGACAGCAGCCTCTGCTGGTGTTCACCAATGTTGGTGTGACACCTGATTGCCTTCCTCGCTGCGTTAAGCGCTTGGTGTGCCCAGAACCCAGCATGGGGCTGTGCTACAGCAGGTGCCCACCAAGTGCCTTCAGACCAATTACAAACACTCAAGGACAGGCGAGCGGCTGGCAGGCTGGGTCGACACAAGGTCAGACTCCAGCCGAGCCAGGGGAGGGACAGCCAGCTACACTTGGTGCCTGCCCCCAGGATGAAGACAAGCCCGAGGACGAGATGGCCCAGAAGAGGGCCAGCCTGCTGGAGCGTCAGCAGCGGCGGGTGGAGGACGCACGGCGGCGGAAACAGTGGCAGGAGGCCGAGAAGGAGCAGCGGAGGGAGGAGGCTGCGAGGTGAGGCTGGACCCAGCCTGGGGAGTCTCCCGCCACTGGCGTCCCCACAACCTGACTGCTTCGATCCCCTCAATCTGCAGGCTGGCCCAGGAGGAAGCAGCCCCCGGGCCCCCGGCCCCCGCAGCTCCTGCGGCTCCTGCCTCAACCGCAGCCCCTGCCACCCGGGCCCCAGCCGAGGAGGAGGTGGGCCCCCGGCGGGGGGAGTTCACGCGGCTCGAGTATGAACGCCGGGCCCAGCTGAAGCTGATGGATGACCTCGACAAGGTGCTGCGGCCCCGGGCGATGGGGAGCGGGGGGCCGGGCCGGGGCGGTCGGAGGGCCCCCCGGCCACGCTCCGGTTGCTGTGATGACTCGGCCCTGGCGCGAAGCACAGCCCGTGGCCTGCTGGGTGAGGCCCCCGTGGGTGTGTGGGGCGGGAGGTGCAGGGCACATCCGCAGGGCCGAAGCGTGGGCTCCCAGGGGTCAAGGCTTCCACAAGGATGTGGGGCTGCAGCGGGGTAAGGGCCGTGGGCAGAGCTGGCCTGGGGTTCTCTCCACGGCTTAACAGGGGAAGGGCCGCTTCCCACAGCCTGGCGTGGTGGGGTGAGGTGGGGAGGTCATTCTCCAGCGAGGCTGCGCAGGGCGAGGGTCTCGGACAGGGCTGACCGCACATTCCCTCACCAGCCGGCCAACTAAGGTCCCCTGGGCATATGTGAAGGTAAGGGGACTTCAGGTGGGGCCTGACCTGACACCCTCTGCTGCCAGGCTCTCGGCTCAGCAAAGTCTACTCCCAGTCCACCCTGTCTCTGTCCACTGTGGCCAACGAGGCGCCCAATAACCTCGGCGTGAAGAGGCCCACGTCTCGGTGAGTTTAGCCTGGGCGGGCAGGTGTTTGTGTTCCAGGTGGCCTCTCAGAGAGATAGGAGAGGAGAGGAGAGAGGGAGGGAGGAGAGAGGGAGAGGGAGGGGGAGGGAGAGCGAGAGAGAGAGAGAGAGGGAGGGACAGGGAGAGGGAGCCTTAGGAGGGTGATATGGCACGAGGGTGTGCATCTGCCACCAAAGATGCAAGGCTGCACACCTGAGACGGGTGTTCAATGTGCCCGGGGCCGGAAGAGGGCCCTGCGTGGACTTGGGAGCCCAGATGATGTCAGTGGATGCGTCCTGCCTGCTGGGCTGTGTCCTGGGCTCGCCCTTCCCGGGTCCCACAGCACACTGATTGGGAGGCTTCGTCCACCGCTGACCGCACCCCACCCCACCCCTCCCCCCGCAGGGCTCCATCTCCATCCAGCCTCATGTCCCCAAGCCGCCTGCCTGGCAGCCGAGAACGTGAGTGGGAGAACGGCAGCAACGCCTCCTCCCCGGCCTCAGTGCCTGAGTACACGGGTAGGTGGGACTTCGGGGGGTGAGCACCGGGCCCCACCGGCGCCCCCGGTTGTCCCTGCTGACCGCCCCGCCCCCTAGGTCCGCGGCTGTACAAGGAGCCGAGCGCCAAGTCCAACAAGTTCATCATCCACAACGCCCTGTCGCACTGCTGCCTGGCGGGCAAGGTGAACGAGCCCCAGAAGAACCGCATTCTTGAGGTGGGCCTGGGCCGGGGCTGGCGGACTGGCGGCGGGCGGGTCGCAGGGGCCCTGCTGGCCTGGCTAACTGCTTCCGCCCCCCCACCCAGGAGATCGAGAAGAGCAAGGCCAACCACTTCCTGATCCTCTTCCGCGACTCAAGCTGCCAGTTCCGGGCCCTGTACACGCTGTCCGGGGAGACGGAGGAGCTGTCGCGGCTGACAGGCTATGGCCCCCGGACGGTCACGCCCGCCATGGTGGAGGGCATCTACAAGTACAACTCGGACCGAAAGCGCTTCACCCAGATCCCCGCCAAGACCATGTCCATGAGTGTGGATGCCTTCACCATCCAGGGGCACCTCTGGCAGAGCAAGAAGCCCACCACTCCCAAGAAGGGCAGCAGCACCCCCAAATAGCCCCGTCCCGGGTGGTCCGCAGGCCGGGCCCCATGTGCTCTGGCCACCGCCCTCCTGGGGGACAGCCCAGAGGACAGTCCATTGGTATGCCCGGGTCCTGTCTGTCCCCCCGTGACCTCGCCTGGGTGGGGCTGGAGTCCCCACACCCTTACTTTGGTCCCGTCCTGCTGTGGGGGCTGAGCTGGGAGGTTCAGGGACTCAGGGCTCAGCTCAGTCCCCCGTCTGTCCTCCCCACCTTCTCGAATAAAGTAATTTAAAAAGAGCTCGACTGAGGCTGGCTGGGGTGCCTGGTGACATCTCTGCCCGAGACGGTTTCCCATACTCGCCGGCTGTTCCCTGCCTCCCGTTCCCTCTTGAACTTGCTCCAGCCTCTCCTCTGCCTCCTCGACACGACCCGGCCCCCAGGGCCCCGTGGCTGCTTCCCAGCTGCCTCTTAACTGACTTCCTGGGCACCTGAGGCCTCTGGCCAGCCCTCCCCGCCCCCGCTCGCTTCAGTTTTCTCCTCAGTGTGGCTGTTATTATCGGCCCGTCCTGGCATTTGGTCCTTGGCCAACTGCTGAACGTGATCTCTCCTCCAGCTGCCTGCCTGCGTTTCTAGGCTCCGTGGCCGCCTCTGGGCCGGGGGTTCCTGTTTCTCTCCTCTGAGCTACACGTCCAAGGGTCTGGTTGCCGCCTTGGCACGGCCGCTGGACGTCTCAGGTGGACGAGCTACGTCACAAGCTCGAGCGGGCGGAACTCGGGTCTCCCTGCAGCTCAGCCCCTCCACCGCCACTGGATCCCACACATTCACCTCCCGAGGGCCTCTCTGGCTCGCGCGCCTCTCTCTGTCCCCGTGACTGCGCCCCCAGCCACCTCCTGCCACAAGCCGGTCCCCACAGCAGCCTGCCTGGCCCGTTCAGGGCACAAATCCGGTTAAGTCCCCGAATGCTTAAAATCCTTTACTAGCTTAGAGCCCGCTAATGGCTTCCGGGAGCTTAGGACTAAGGACCGCACCTAGGCCATGGCCCGTGGCTGAGGTCTGGCTCCTGGCAGCTGTCCAGGGAGAGAAGCGCCTTGCTTAGGTCACAGAGCTGGTTGGGGCCCGCCTGCCTCCGGAGCTCTCAGCCCAGCCTCTTCCCAAGGGGAGGGGGATGCCCTCATCCAAGGAAGAAGGGTTCGTGGTGGGGAGGCTGAGTATCTCTATCTGCTGAGAGGGAGGGGCGCAGGGGCCCCCTCCAGGCTCAGGGCCTCAGGCGGCAGAGAGACTGGCCTCTCGGAGCCCAGAACTGGCTCTGCGGGGTTAGGGTGGAGCGTGTGCCCTGGCCTGGAGCCCAGCTGCCCCACCTCCCCACACCGGCCAATCTGGGGGGTGGGGTGGGGGGCAGGGCGGCACTGAGCTGGCAGTCCCCAGGGGCACCGAGGCAGTAGGAGAAGGCGGGGAGGAAGGAGGCTCAGACCAGAACGTACAAACACAAGCTTCACTGGGGGAGCAGTGGAGGGGGTAGGGGATGGGAGTCAGTCTTCCTTCAGGCTCCCGAACACGGCGGCCGGCACGCTCTGCTGCTCCAGGCGCACCTCTGGGGGTGAGGCGAGGAGGACTCAGTCACCTTCCAGGAGGGGGTCCCGCCCCCGCCTCCGCCCACCAGCCCGCCTGGCCAGCCGGCCTCTTACCATTGGGCTCCAGGTCCATCTCGTCCTCGTCCTCGCCCAGCTCGATCTCCTCCGGGTTGGCCTGCTGGGCCAGCTGGGCCAGCTCCTCCCGGGAGGCGTCACTCCTGGGGAAGGCAGGCGGCCGGGGGAGGGGGCCACACTGCTCAGCTAGGCCCGGCAGCCCCCCAACCTCCCCACCCCTCCCCCCTGCAGAGCTGGCCCACTCCCAGCTCGGCTCCACCGCCCCGCCCTCACCTCACAAACAGGATCTTGCTCTGGGCCCGCGAGGGCTGGTCCTGCTCGGCCTCAGCCGCCAGCTGCTCGGCCCGCTGTTCCAGCAGCTTCATGTCGTCCATGCCGCTCTGCCCGGGGGCCAGGTCGGACACTGTGGGGGGAAGCGTGGGGGTCAGACGCCGTGGGCAAGCTGTCCTCAACCACGGCCTTAGGTGCCTGCCTCGGTCTGAGTGCTGCTGGGTGCCCCCCGACCTGGGCCTGAGGCCCTGGCCCTCGAGGAGCTCCCAGCCTGAGGCAGGGGAGGCAGAGGAGACCCTGATGCTCCCAGACCCGGGAGACCACCACTGGGCCACAGCTGCTCACCAGTGCCCGTGGCGCTGCCCGTCACCTTGAGCATCTGGGAGGCCATGAAGTTGACCTGAGTGTTGTACGTGGCCTGCACGCTGCGGCGGATCCGCAGCATCTCCCGGATGGTGTCCTCATTGCCGTGCCGGACCTCGAAGTCCTTCCACGTCTGCCAGAAGGCCCCGGTCGTCTGCAGAGGGGCGGGGCCGGGGGACGTGAGCCAGCTGGCTCAGCCGCAGACTCCCACACCCACGGGCCCGGGACCCGTCCCTACCCGGGGGTCACAGATCTGCGAGCAGAAGCTGTAGATGGCCCGGGCGCGGTCGATCTCCCCGAGCTTGCACTCCATGTCTGCGAACCGCAGGCACATCTCCCGGGCGTGCTCGTCTGACAGCACCTGGGCGGGGTCGGGAGGGATCAGGGAGGGTGGGATGTGAGGCAGAGGGAGCCGCCCCTCTTGGGGAGCCCCGGTGGTTCCCAGCACACCAGGCCGGCCCCTGGGCGGGCGGGCCTCCCCACAGACGCGCGCACCGGCTCGCTCGGATACCCTGCCTACAGGACCCCTTGTTCCCCCTCTCTAGCCCCAGCTCCCCACCCCACCCCCTGCAGCGGGCACCTCGATGGCCTTCTGATAGATGCTGCGCGTGTGGGTGACCCCGTAGATCTCGGCCGCCCGCTTGATGTAGATGTTGAACATGTCGTATTGCTGGGCGGGCTCCACGGCCCTGGTGGCGCGCTCATACACGGCCATGGCGTGCCGGGCCAAGCCCCACTCCTCCTCCAGCTGCGCGTACAGCAGGTACAGGGCTGTGACAGGATGCAGCGGGGGGGGGGGGGGGGTCAGAGGTCAGTGGCTGGGCCCGTGATGCCCCCTCCAAGCCCACCTGGCCCTCCTCACTCTTTGCGTATTTGGGAGGGCAGCCATCCAGCGCCTGCTCAAACAGGTCCCGTGCCCGCTCCAGCTTCTGGCCCCCGTAGCGGGCGATGAACTTGGTCAGGTAGGTACTCCAGATGTCGGACACGTTGGGCCACTTGAACAGCGAGATGCCACGCTCGTATGCCTGCCCCGAGGGAGAGTCGTGTGAGTCCGCAGGGGGAGACTCCTTAGGGCTCAGCAAGTAGGCCCCTTGTCTGCCCACCTCTCCCCATCCCACTTCTCCCCGTGATCACGCAATCAAAGCCCAGCCAAGAGTGTCTGTGCACTGCCTGTCTCCCTGGACAGGCTGCAAGGACCCCGAAGACAGAGCTGGACTAGGGCTCACTAGGATCAGTCAGTGACTTTACGGCTGAAGAGGAGGGTGGAACCTCAGCTTGCAAACACTGCAGCCCGGTGTCCTGGAAGAAGGTTCACCACCCAGGCAGAGGGGCAGGGCCTGCCACTCAGGCAGAGGGGGCACTCACGTGCATGTATGACTTCCCCGCCCATGTATGTGCACAGTCTCCACTTGTACACGACAAAACCTCAGACAGTGGGGCAAAGCCCCACCACACGTACACATGCACATGGAAAACACCCCACGTGCCTACAACCCATCGCCTGAGCAGCAAGGCAGGGGCACCCCCGCACACACAGGCAGAACTCCGTGCCTGTGACAGGCTGACCTGTGTCCCCCCCAAATTCAAGTTGAAATCCTAACTCCCCGTACCTCAGAACGAGACTGTGTTCTGATAAGATCTTTAAAGAAGCAACTAAGTTAAACAGAGAGGACTTCCCTGGTGGCACAGTGGTTAAGAATCCGCCTGCCAATGCAGGGGACACGGGTTTGAGCCCTGGTCCAGGAAGATCCCACGTGCCGCAGATCAGCTAAGCCCATGTGCCATGACTACTGAGCCCACGAGCCACAGCTACCGAAGCCCGTGCACCTAGAGTCCGTGCTCCGCAACGAGAAGCCACCGCAATGAGAAGCCCGCGCACCACAACAAAGAGCAGCCCCCGCTCGCCGCGACTAGAGAAAGCCTGCACGCAGCAACGAAGACCCAACGCAGCCAAAAATAAATAAATTAAAAAAAAAAAAAAGAGATTAGGGTAAATTTCATTCCAATACAACTGACAGCCTCACAAAAGCAGAGCTGGGCACAGGAGGAACACCAAAAACACACAAAAAGGTGTCCACGTGAAGACACAGTGAGAAAACAGCCTCTACAAGCCAAGGAGAGGGGCCTCAGAGGAAACCAGCCCTGCCGACGCCTTGATCTCAGGCTTCCGACCTTCAGGACTGAGAAAACACGTCTCTGTTGTTTAAGCCTCCCAGTCGGCTGTGATGGCAGCCCGGGTAGGGACAATGCCGTCCGGGGCCCCCTCACCTTGAAGCTCTCTTCAAAGTACTTGTGCTCCTCCAGGAACATGGCGTAGTTGATGACGATTTGGGGCGTGGCGATGCGCAGGTCCAGGATGCGGTCATAGACGGCTTTGGTGGACTGTGGGGCAGGGGGCCGGTCAGAGCGTGTCCCGGGGGTGGAGTCAGCGGCCCTCCGCGGGGCGTGTCCCATCCCACGCCCCCATCCCATCCTGGCGGCTCACCTGGAAGGTGCCGAGGCTCTCCTCCAGGTCGGCCAGCATTGACCACACCTTCAGAGACTTGTATACGCGGTTCTGCACGGGCTCCGAGCCGTCGAAGTACTCGGCGCGGCGGGCGGGCAGCGCCGTCGCCTTCTGCACGGGCAGCGCCAGCAGGGGGAAAGCCGCGGGGGTGTCCAGGACCAGATCACACACCCGGAGGCTCCCCCACCCCCTCCCAACCCGGGCTTGTGTTTACTCGCAGCAGCCGCAAGGCCTGGTCGTAGTTCTCGTGCCGGAGCTCCAGCTCGCCACACTCGCACCACACGCTGGCCAGGTCGTCCACCTGCTTGAAGCTCACCTTGGTGGCTTTCTCCAGGATGATGCGGGCCTGTGGGGCGGGCAGAGGCCAAGCTGAGACCCCACCCGCCCGCCCGGCTGTGGGCGCTGGGCGGAGGACCTGTAAGTACTCGTACATGCAACGCGCACTGGCAACACGGCACTCACGTCATCCAGCTGCCCGTTGTCCTCGTAAAACTTGGCGAACGCAACCCACAGGGTGTGGGGCTTGCCGGTCGCCTTGAAGGGGTCCACAGTCTGCACGGCCTCCGTGTACGTGTTAATGATCTGGGCAGGAAGGGTTGGGTCAGGCTGGGCAGGGCCCTGGTTGGGGAGGGCGGGGCCTGGGGACGGGGGGCGGGGCCGCCACGTACCTCCCTCGGGCGGCCCTCGTGCAGGGCCACGCGCTTGTGCCACTCGTGCACGTGGTGCGGGTTCTGGCGCAGCAGGACGCTGTTGAGGAGCAGGGGCCGCCGGCTGATGAGCTGCTCAAAGCGAGCCAGGCGCAGCTCCAGGTCCACGTCGTCTGGGACCCGTGGGAAAAGCCAGGAGCACGGGGGGAGGCCTCAGCACGCGGCCCCCGGCCACCTCCGTCTCTCAGGTCTCTCTCCCTTCAGCCCCCAGCTCCCCCCCACTGTCCATCCGGGCACTCCCTCCCTGAGCTGCCCCAGGGCCACCCTGACCTCACACCTGCCCTGGGGCCAGGCTACTCTGGAACCCCCTCCAATCCCCACCATTCCCCCCAGCCCTTGTTCCCTGCCAAGCTCTGGCCCAGACGCCCCCCCCCCCACGCCTGCTGTCCAGCCAGCCCTCCCTTCCCGCCAGTGGCCGGCCCAAGCCCCACTGAGATGTGTTCCCAGTCCTGGCTACCCGCCGAGATCCCACCCGCAGTGCCCATTCAGGCTCCCTCCCTGCTGGCCTCTGACCCCAAGCCCCACACCTCCCTGACCCAGCCACTCGGGACCCCTCCGAGCCCTGCGGCCCACCCCTGCTGCTCACCCTCCTCCTCCCGCCCCAGCTCCGAGGCCGTCTCCATCTTCGCCGCGATCATGCTCTCCTCGAACTGGGCATAGCTGTCGAACACCTGGGTGAAGTCCCGCACGGTCATCACGGTCCGGATGGCCTCCTCATACACGTCCCGAGCCTGTGGGGATGGGGAAAGTGCTGGCAGAGGAGAGGCACGTGTGCCCACCGCATGCACACAGGGCATCCGGCAGCACCGCCCTTGGCACCAGTCCCAAATCAGAACCCCCGGAGGGCCTTTCCTGGGCCTGCCCAGCTCCGTCAGCGCACGGCCGTGGTCGGAGCTCCCCGCCCGTCCTCTGCCAGAGTGAGGTGGAGGATTCAGCTCCTCAGCAGTAAACTGACAGTGACAGCCCCTCACGCAGAGTCACTGCGGGGCTCGAGTGAGACGCATAAAGGGTCTGGCCCCAGTGAGACCCAATAGGTGACCAGCCACCCTGCAGGGACCCTAACCTCAGCCTGCCATGGAGTGCTCAATCGTTGCTACAAAGTACCCCTCACGCCTGCCCGATCCCCCTTCTGCAGCTCACATTCTCCCCATCACCCCCCACACCAACCCCTGAGGGCAGCATGAAAGGAAAGTGCTGGCGTGGGCGAGGCGCATCCCCACCAAGGGCGGGCCCGTTGCTCTACCCCTGGCCCTGGCTGATCCTGCCCCTCTGCCTCTGCCTGGCCGCTGGCTCCAGCAGCCTCCTGGCCGGTCTCCTGCTGCCGGCCTCGGCCTGTGCGCTCCACTCAAAGTGTCAGCCTGAAGGGTCTTTGTAAGACACACACCTGGTCAGGCCTATGTCCTGCTCACGGCTGGCTGGCTGGCGGCTCCCCGCAGCAGGACACAGCCGGCCCCTCCTCAGCCTGCAGGGCCTCCCTTCCCTAGTCCTTCACCACCCCCTCTGAGCCCCCTCCAGCTCCTCCTTCCCACTCTGCTCCCCCCGGCACCCCCCTCCCCAGCCAGTCCCAAGCCAGCCCCTCTGGGGACCTCTCAGAGCTCCACACCCCGCCCCCCACCCCGGCCCCAAGCTCGCCATTCCATGGCCCGATGAGGAGAACAGCCAACGTGGACACTGACAGAAACACCAACACCTCGGGAGGGACCCTCACACCGGACACCGGCTCGCTGCCTGAGTCCCAGTAGGCAAGGAAGTGACTGTCACTCTCATTTTGCAAATGAGGACACCCAAGCTGAAGCAGGTCCAAGGCCAGAGCAGAGAGATCCAGGTCTGGCTGGCCTGAGGTGGGTGCACTCGCCGGCAGGGCCGTGATGCCTGCCTCTCCCCACCTTCAGAAAGGCAAAAGCGGTCCACGTGCACATCTTCTGCTCACACGCGTGTCCTCAGGCATCCCCCAATACTACGTGCTGGAGGGAGACCCCACCCCGCTCCCGGAGCCCCACGTGCTCAAGCACCTTCTCGAAGTGACCGCTGCGGATGTAGTAGTCGGCCAGCGAGCACCAGAGCTTGCCCAGTTGGTCGGTGAAGCGGGTGAGGCCCCCGCGGATGATGGCGTCCACACTGAGAGACTGCACCTTGTCTGGGTTCTGGGAGATGAGGTCGCAGAGCTCGTGCCACAGCTGCAAGGCATGGGAAGGAGCGTCAGCCTTGTCCCTGAGAGGGCGAGCCCTCCCGCCCAGCCGTCACCCCGGGGCCCACCTGGTAGTTGGACTTGCCGGCCTTGGACACGAAGCGCTCGTCGTTCACCACGGTGGCCAGGCGCTGTGCGGCCTCGTCCAGCCGGTCGCTCGACTTGAGGTACTCGATGTACTCCTCAGCACTCTCGGGGCTCAGCTGGGCACCCATCCACCCGCCAGCTGTCAGTGGGGCCACAGGGCCATGCCGCCATGCCACCATTCCCCCTCCCACTCTGGGCTTTCTGTCAGCCACTCACCACTGTCCCGGACAAGAGCTCGCCCCACACACCCAGTCATAGCCACACCTGTCCAGCCTGGGCCTCACTGGTCCAGCTCCAGCCCTGACTGGGCCCTGACTGGTCCAGCCTCAGCCCTCACTAGTCCAGCCTGGGCCCTGACTGTTCCAGCCTGAGCCTCACTGTTCCAGCCTGGGCCTCACTGGTCCACCCCCAGCCCTGACTGGTCCAGCCTGGGCCCTGACTGGTCCAGTCTCAGTCCTGACTGGTCCAGCCTGGGCCCCAGTGGTCCAGTCTCAGTCCTGACTGGTCCAGCCTGGGCCCCAGTGGTCCAGTCTCAGTCCTGACTGGTCCAGCCTGCGCCCCAGTGGTCCAGTCTCAGTCCTGACTGGTCCAGCCTCGGCCCTAGTGGTCCAGTCTCAGTCCTGACTGGTCCAGCCTGCGCCCCAGTGGTCCAGTCTCAGTCCTGACTGGTCCAGCCTGGGCCCCAGTGGTCCAGTCTCAGTCCTGACTGGTCCAGCCTGCGCCCCAGTGGTCCAGTCTCAGTCCTGACTGAGCTTAGGCATCAGTGGTCCAGCCTGCACAGCCCCTAAACAGCACCATGCTAAGCATTTCAGGACGCGTAAGAGACATTATAAGTTCAGGAAAACTACACAGTGCCTCCCCACTATTTGCACCTCGACTGTCAGCCCTGCCTGTTATTTGTTTCCCTAGTCGTTTATTTCCTATTCCCTGCTCTCCCGTGGCTGCAGTTTTACTCTGATTTATGGGGTCAGGTAATATGTATCTGTCTGCAAAGTCAGACTGAAAGCTCCATGGAGGCAGCAACTGTCTTAGCCACACTGTCCCCGGCACCTGTCTTAATACCTGACATGGTTACTAGCAAACTGTCTGGAGATTAAACACAGAACTCACAAACAAAACCCTGTCTTAAGAAGCCTTGTTCCCATATTCTGTCTGTTAGGGCAGACAGTGTCCCAACGAGCCGGTTTCCGGAAAGTCTTGACCTGGGGGAACTGGCCCACCTGCCTGAGCCTGGCCCCATCTCGCCCTCTGAGGGGCTTACCTTGAGGAAGCGCCGGTAGCCCCGCACAGCAGTCTCAGGCAGGGGGTGTGAGCGCAGGAAGCGCAGGTACAAGGGCCAAATACGAGAGTGCTGTGTGATGGGCAACGCTCGGAGGGCACGGTCGAAAGTGCGGCGCGTGTGTGTGACGCGTCCCTGGTCCATCAGGAACTGGCAGTAATCTAGCCACAGCCGGGGCATCTGCAGGTGCGGGGAGAGGCAGGGTCTGAGCTGCCAGCACCACCACCAGGCCATAAAGACACCAGATGTCCATTGCAGCAGGACCCGGAAGTCCTGTCCCCCTGGAACCAAGTCTCGCTCAACCCTGAGTGCACAGAGGCCACAGGACTCCAACCCCCTGCTCTGTCCACCTCCGTGGACTCTGAGCCCCACCTCCCCACTCATCCCCTGGCCCAGCCAGGCCCCCTCCCCACCTTGTGCATGAACACAAAAGCCCTCTCGTGGCAGTTGTTGACATCTTCGTAGGCAGGGTCGGTCACACAGCGATGCTTCACCTGTGCCCGGCGCGCCTTCAAATAGCGGTACCAGAGTTTGTAGCTGGGGGGGGTGGGGGGAGAGGGGAGGGGCAGACAATGATCGGTCAGCTTCATGGACCTCGGGACCCTTCACTCTGCCTCACGAGACAAGTGCTGGGAGAAGGGGCCCAGGGAGGGGTGACAAGTCTCTGCGACAGGGGAATGGCCGGGACGTCAGGGAAGGTGTGCTCACAGATCAGGGGATGTATATTCGGCGACACAACACATAGCAGTCACGTGGGATGTACTAGCAAGTTCTGGGTTGATTGGATAAGGTGGGGTGCGTGTGGGGCTGGGGCAGGCAGGGCAGCTGCAACCAATCTCACCTGCAGGGCAGCAGCTTCAGCGCCCGCTCATAGAGCTGATTGAGTCTGGGCTTCGGGGCACCCTGCTTAAACTCAATGTAGCGGAGCCAGCATTTGACGGAGAACTGGTTCCGCATGATTTCCTCCTCATAGGGGAGGTCCTCCTCCTCCTGCCAGGGCCGGGGTACAGGGAGAAGACAGACCTGTTCTCAGAGCCTGCGCGCAGCACCACTCCACTCCAAACTCCAGACCCCTCCCCAGGTCCCAGATCCCACACTCCTCACCATCGGGAGCCCGGTCACCAGACACCCAGATACCAGGAATCTGGTCCAGACCCTTCAGAATACTACTGCCTACAATCTGACCCAGACCATCAGACTCCTTGGTCACAGCGTTCTAGGCCAGATATGAGACTGTCACCCAGACATCACTCTTTTGGCCTTCCTAATCAAGCTATCCACTCTGGCCCAGATCACCAGACTCTTTTGCCACCAAGACCCTGGTCCGACGCCAGGCCTCTGCCCTAGACGTCAAGTGTCACCTCCTCACAACATGGCTCTTCCCAGACACGAGACGTTTGGCACCTCAGGACCCCACTAGCCAGAGTCTAGCTCAACTCTGCCCCAGAACTTGGAAGCTAGACCCTTATCTCAGAAAGAAAGGTATGTACAGGATGCCTAGCCTTTAACTCGAGACACCAAGAATCTAGTGAAGATGCCAGGCTTCTACTTCAAACACCAAGCCTTTGACTCTTCAGGAGTCCACGGGCCATCGCCTGATCAGCTCCACATCACCCGGTCTTTACTTCTGATTCCAGGGTTCTCCCGGTCCAGACACCATGCCCTTATCCCAGAAACTATAACGCTCAGGACCAAACGTAGACCGTTACCCAAGACACCAAGATTTTACCACTGAAACCAGAGACCTGGACTGGTCGTCCTGCCTTTACTTCAAACACCAGGCCTCTCAAGATTGAGCTACGCGAGTCTCCCTTCTCTCCCACTCCCATTTCCGCCCCAGGCCCGGGACGCCAGGCCCTTAACTTCAACCACCTGCTCTTTGCTCAGGTCACCTGGGCTCTAGCACCAGACCTCTACTCCTGACCAGCCTGGTCCGTACATCATGATCCGGTCTCTGGCCCGTAAGGGTCCTCCTGCCCTCAGACCGGCATAACTTTGGCCTAGATACCCCGGGCTGCCATGCCCGAATCTCCTGAGGCATCTAAGCCCCAGTGCCCCCAGGCAGGCCACCCCCGGGCCCGCCACGGACTCACGAAGACAAGGTCCGGCCGCTCGGGCCTCGAGAGGCGCGCCATCACCACCATTTTTCTGGCACTCCAGGTACGCGCAGGAGTCGCGTTATAATGACGTCTCCGGCTGAAGGCCCGCCCCCTCGAACCAGGCCCATTTCCTATTGGTTGAACCCTTCCCGATTGCGCGCCCTGCGTTGTTGACTTACACGTAGACGTCCAGCTACCGGAAGCAGAGAAGAAGCGCCCGAATATGACGTCATCACGAAGCTCATCGGACCAATCAGGTTCAGCAGTGGAACCCTCGGACTCCCAATGGGCTGCTGTCTTGCTGGATAGTTGGCTTTGGGCGGAAGCGGCTTTGAAGCCTGAGAAGAGCGAGATGGGGGTGAAGCTGGAGGTGTTTCGGGTCAGTGAGCAATGGAGCGGTTGCAGGCCTGGGCGCGGGGTCTTCCTGGTTGAGGAGGAGACTCTGAAAAGGGGGACCTCTGAGAGAGGGCGCTCTGGAGCGAAAGCTCCTGAGATTTGATAGGGACCTTTACGGTTGGAACCCCAGAGAAGGGGGCACAGGGTTCGGGGCTCTGGGAGGGCTGGTGTGAGGAAAGCCTTCTGAGAAGAGTGATCTGGGGAGGGGGTGGGATGATGAGATCTCAGAGAGATGCCTTTACTGTAGTACGAGCTTTTCTGTTCCTGGGGCGACTGTGTGTGTGTGTGTGTGTGTGTGTGTGTGTGTGTGTGTGTGTGTGTGAGAGAGAGAGAGAGAGTGTGTGTTTCTTTGAGAGGGAGTCTCCCGGACTCGGAGGGGGCTTTTGGAGGGGGCTCTTGGATTATGGAGGCTAGACTTTAAGGTGTATGGCTTCTGTACCCTTGATGGGAGTTTTGGGGTTTTGGGGGCGCTGGGGAAGCACCACTGGTCTCTGTCAGGGGATGGTCCTCCAGGCTCTAAGCAGCCTCTGCACAGTTTGGGGGTGGTGGGGGTGACTCCTGGCTCTTCTTATCTCGCCCCTGCCCTTCCAGATGACCATCTACCTCACCTTCCCTGTGGCTATGTTCTGGATTGCCAATCAGGCCGGGTGGTTTGAGGACTATGTCGTACAGCGCAAGGTGGGCACAGGTTCATTCCAGGGGTGGGGGAGGTTATGGGGCACCAACCTGATGGGGACCAGTGTTTGCCTCCCCTGAGCCAACCCTGCCCTGGGTGTGGGGCTCTGGAGGCTCCTGGCTTGTGTATCCAGCTGTGACTTTGTCCCTACAGAGGGAGCTGTGGCCCCCTGAGAATGAAGACAAGGTAAGCAACCTCCTTTTCCTCCCACCGGAGGAGGGAGGAACGTGGGTTCCTGTGGCCATCATGGGACCCTCAGTCATGGACAGGGAACCGAGAGTGGAGGGGCACGTGATTTCCTTATTGCCCTCTCCCTGAAGGTTGAAGCTAATCCCACTTGGACCTGGGTTATAATTGGCATAGGCTTCCAGTGTAGTCACTGAACTGTGAAGTGGTGGTCTGGGGAATTAAAGGGAGGGGTGCTGAGAAAGAGGTCCAGGCCCTGAGGTGTGTATGCCCCTCCTTCCTTCCCATCCCACTCCCTTACCCAGCGCCAAGAGCTAGAAGAATTCAAAGAAAGGATACGGAAGCAGCGGGAGGAAAAGCTCCTTCGTGCTGCCCAGCAGAGGTCCTGAGGCCTCCAAGTGCCTGAATCCCTGCCTCTCCACCCACAGAATGACACACATACACGGTTCTTCGTTGCTCGTGGAAGTGTTTTATTGTCCGCTTTGGGGGGCCAAGTGGGGCCCAGGACGCCTCAGGCCCTCACGGGGCTTGTGTCTGGGGCTGGGGGCTGCTGTTTCGACGGAAGCTGAGTGCAGTCGGATCCTGAGGGGTGAGGAGGGGTTGGGGGCTGAGGGTCCCGGCTCGTTTCTGTACTCCATCCTGTAGATGCAGAGGGGTCAGCCAGAGGGCCAAGGGCAGTGCTGGCCGTTGCAGGTGGCAACCGGAGTCCCACCTCCCCCCATCTGCCCCACCATCCCTGAGCTTCTCCACTCCTCAGTTACTCAGCATTTAGGGTGGTATTTGGGAGCTGGTGGGTCTTGGGGACGTCCCTGGGATCTTGATCAGAAGCCAAGCTGTGGGTGAGTACGTGTGACATGGACACATGGGTGTCTGGATGTGTCCTGGGCATGAGCTCGCATGCTCTCCACCCTCAAGGTGTCTTCCCAGGAGTGGGTCTATTCTCTCTCGCCTCCTTGAAGTTCTCAGACTTGGGAGCGGGAGCCACAAGTTCTGGCCACAGCTCTGACTTTAACACGCCCCCTGCATGACCTTGATCTCTTCCCAGCTCTGTCTGGGCCTTTGTCCTACCTCTGAACTGGGGTATTGGATGGGCCGGGGTCTTGTGCCTGGCAAGTACACAGGGTGGGCACTCCTACCATGTGCTCATCCCGAGGGGCAGATGATGGACAGGGGTGGGGGTGGGAGGCAGGGTTAGAGGGATCAGTGTGGCTGGTCTCTCCTCAGCCCTGGCAGAACATCACCTACCTTGGGGCCCAGGGGCTGGAAGCCAGGCAAGGCGCTGACTGTCACACGCTGGTCATCCATGCGGCGGCCCTGGGTACTGGCCAGCATGTCCATGAGACTGTCCATCTCGGGTGCAGGGCCGCTCTCTGCATGAAGCAGAGGCCGTGGGGAAGAACTCAGCCCGGCCGGAGGCCCCAACCCATCCCTCCACCCCCACTCACATTCTCCAGGAAGCATGCTCACATCTGCCCCCAACCCGCAGACATCTCTGTCCCCACTTGCCTGCTCACTTTCTCAGACCCTTGCCCACTGGTCCCCCAGATGGGCACTTGCCCCATTCACACCCCCCCATCACGCCCACTTCCGCACACCTCCCTGCCCGCTCTCACGGCCCTGGGAGGCTGGGCCCGGCCCCGCCTGCAGTGAGCAGCGCTGCTCCTCCATCCGGCCGCCCTGCACGTGGCTCAGCAGGTTGAAGAAGCCCTCCTGGTCTGGGGAGCCCGCCTGGGGGGCACACACACTCAGTCCGGCCGGCCTCTCAGCTGGAGGAGCCCTCAACTCCCCTCCTGGCCGGCCAGCTTCCCCCCGACCCCCGGGCCTGCCCTGCCCCTTCTGTGGCTCTCACCATGGTGCCCGCCGATGTGCTGCTCTGCAGAGCTGCTCCAAATGAGACATGAGTCTCCTTCTCAATCCCGGCCCCCGCCCCAGGGGCCACACCAGCAGTGCCATGTCACGTGGTGCTGCCCCAAGGGAGAGGGCCACCGTCCTAGATTGGGGCCTGACTGCGGGGTGGCCCGGGGGCTGGGACACGAGCCAGGGGAACGTCCCCCTGACAGCTCCTGAGTCCCAGCATCCCTCACCTCACAGGGGGTCAGCACTAAGAGCCCTGACCTCTGCCCTGGGGCTGGGTTAGGCACTCGGACCCTCCCGCCCACCAGCACCTTCTTGGGCAGCAACTGGGTCGGGGGTCCCAGGAGACTCACTTGCTAATTAGGTGCCCTACAAACTCATTAGCCTTGTCATTCACGGGTCCTTGAGTTGGTGGGGGGGCGGCGGGGCCTGCTCACCTTGTCGCAGGAGGCCGAGCCCCCATCCTCCTCTTCCTGGTCCATCATTGTCCCTGCTCCCCTCCCCTGGGTCCTGTCCACCTCTCCACTGGCCTCTGCCCTGGCCCCGTGCCAGAGAAGGCTTTTTAAGAGACTGGGACGTGGCGGGGAGTGGATACCCAGCCCCAAATCCCCAGCTCACGCCCCATCTGCTCCCACCCAAGCTTAAGCCCCATAAAGATGATCCAGATAATCGTTTTTGCAGCGTGAGGCGGGGGCTGCCGTGGGGGGCAGGAGGCAGGGTGACCTGGGCTCGGACATTGTTGGCCCAGCAGGACTCGCTGGGCCCCAGGGACTCTCAGGTGGGGTGCGGCAGTCGGCCAAAGCAGCGCCCCCACAGTGGGGAGCTTGGGCGGGCTTGGTCCCATAGGGAGAGGACAGGGCCCTAGGGCAGCCGAGGTGAGGTCTGAAGCTACCCAGCTTGCCCACCGATATCTGCCAGAAAGGCAGTTGCCGTCCGCAGGTGGTGGGAAGAGGGGAAGCTGGGCCCGAGGACCCCTGAGGCACCACCGGCTGGCCTCTGTCTCCTGGCCACCCTTCCTCTCTGCTCACTGTCCCCTGGTCTGGTTGCCCACCCCCTACTCCCAAAACAGGAAGGTCTGGTAGCTCCTGTCTCCCCACCGCCAATGCCAGGTTGGTCTGTCTCCTCTGATCTTTACCCCCAGCCCCGCCTCGGAACTGGAGGCTAGACTCCTGGGGAGGAAGGTGCCTGCCCCCTCCGCTGAGCAGCTATGGCTCTCCCTCAGTGCCCCGGGAGAGGAGGATGCTGGGAGGATCCCACCTGCACCCCACCCCATCCCCAGGATGCCTTTCTGGAAACCAGTTAAAGTTTCTTCTCGGAATACACGGGCCACGCTCTCATCACCTCTGCTCAATTGAAAAGCTTGGTCCTCCTCTCCAGGCAGCCCTCCACCATCCGGAGCCCCCATTCACACCCTCTCCATGGCCCCAAGACCCGGATGCCAACGTGATGTCCTGCTCCTCCCCGGACATATTAGTTTCCCAGGCTGCCTTAACAAAGTGTCCCAAACTGGGTAGCTTAGAGCAACAGACGTTTATTGTCATACAGTTCTGGGGGCCGGCAGTACAGAATCGAGGCGTTGGCAGGGCTATACTCCTGTAGCATGGAAGAGAGGGTCTTTCCTTGCCTCTCCCTGGGTTCTTGTGGCTGCCGGCAGTCCTTGGTGTCCCTTGGCTTGTGGCAGCAGGACTTCAGGCTCTGCCTCTGTTGTCACAGATGTCCCCCTTGTGTCCTTCACATGGCTGTCGTAAGACATGGACACCAGTCACGTTGCTTTAGGGATTCACCCTCCTGCAGCACGACCTCATCTTTACTAATTGCACCTGCAGAAACCCTATTTCCAAATAAGGGCACGTTCTAAGGTTCTGGGAGTTAGGACTTCAACACACTTTTCTGTTCTGTGGGCAGCCTTGTGCCCATAACAGCAGAACACCTTGGTCACCCTCACTGAGTAAAATGAGAGGCGGCAGACCCTACAGAGCCTCACCACCAGGGGACAGGCTGAGAAGCTAGAGGTGGTCCCAGCTTCCTCAGGGTCTCCCAGCTCCCTCCTTTGCCCCTGCAATCCATCTTTCCTCCCAGGAGCTGCAAGGGTCCCTTCCTTCCCCTGCTCAGAACTCTCTCTTGGCCCCCACTGTCCTCAGGAGAAAACCCGAGCACCTTGGGATCATGGGAATGTTCTAAACTTGACTGGTTATGCCGGCCATCGTTTAAAAATCTACAAATAACAAATGCTAATGAGGGTGTGGAGAAAAGGGAACCCTCCTACACCATTGATGGGGATGTAAATTGGTACAGCCACTATGGAAAACAGTGTGGAGGTTCCTCAAAAAACTAAAAATAGAACTACATTATGATCCAGCAATCCCACTCCTGGGCATATGCCCAGACAAAACTATAATTTGAAAAGATACATGAAAAGATATACCCAGTGTTCATTGCAGCATTGTTTACAATAGTCAAGACATGGAAGCAATCTAAATATCCATTGACAGAGAAATGGATAAAGAAGATGTGGTAAATATATACAGTGGAACATTACTTAGTCATGAAAAAGAATGAAATAATGCCATTTGCAGCAACATGGATGGACCTAGAGATTACCATACTAAGTGAAGTAAGTCAGAAAGAGAAAGACAAATACCATATGATATCATTTATATGTGGAATCTAAAATATGACACAAATGAACTTATCTACAAAACAAAAACAGACTCACAGACATAGAGAACAGACTTGTGGTTGCCAAGTGGGGGAGAATGGGGGATGGATTGGGAGATTGGGATTAGCAGATGCAAACTATTATACATAGAATGGATAAACAACAAAGTCCTACTGTATAGCACAGGGAACTGTATTCAATATCCTGTGATAAACCATAATGGAAAAGAATACATACATAGGGACTCCCCTGGTAGTGCAGTGGTAAAGAATCTGCCTGCCAATGCAGAGGACACGGGTTTGAGCCCTGCTCCAGGAAGATCCCACATGCCATGGGGCAACTAAGCCCGTGAGCCACAGCTACTGAGCCTGCGCTCTAGAGCCTGTGAGCCACAACTACTGAGCCCATGAGCCACAACTACTGAGCCCATGTGCCACAACTACTGAAGCCAGCACGCCCAGAGCCCTGCTCTGCAACAACAGGCCACCGCAATGAGAAGCCCGTGCACGGCAATGAAGAGTAGCCCCCACTCACCGCAACGAGAGAAAGCCTGCATGCAGCAAGGAAGACCCAACGCAGCCATAAATAAATAAATAATTAAATATATATATATATATATATATACTTATATGTATATTCTCAGAATCACTTTGCTGTACAGCAGAAATTAACATTGTATATCAACTATACGTCAATAAAGTAAATTTTAAAAAAAAATTGGTGATGGATACACAACTGTGAATATGCTAAAAGCCATTAAATTGTATGCTCTCAGTGATCAAATTGTATGGTATGTGAATTTTATTGCAATAAAACTATGAAAGAAAGAGAGAAAAGGAGAGGATGGGAGGGAGAGGGAGAGAGAAAGAGAAGGTGAGCAAGAAAGAGAAAGAGAAAGAAATAAAGAAAAGGAAAAAGGAAAGAAAACCCCAAACTCCTACATAGAGAGAACAGCCATCCTGGTTTGCCCAGGACTGTCCCAGTTTTAGCACTGAAAGTCCTGGGTCCTGTGAACCCCTCAATCCAAGGCAAATCGGGTTAGTCCTACTACGTCCCATAGAGGTCTGGCCTCCGTAGACCCTCCAACCTCACCTCACTCCAGCCACTCCTCTGAGCTCATCCCTCCCTTCTCTCTGCATGGTTGCTCCCTGATGTCATTCAGGGTTAAGCCTAAAGGCCACACCCATAGGGTACCCCTCTGGCACCACCCTCAATAAAGCGCCCCCCCACCGTGGCACTTGTTATCAGGTCACTGTTTATTTCCTTAAGGCATAACCGATTATTTTCTATCCCCTCCTCCTCCATTCAACTTTAAGTGCTGCCTGGCAGGCTTTCTGGTCTTATTCACTGTGGTCAGTCCCATGCCTGTCCCATGAAAGTGGCAGAGGACCTGGCACCTGGCCGACTCTTAAGAAACATGGTCAAATAAAAGCATGGGTTCGGGACTGAACGAGCTTAGGACTCTGCATTCACACACGTGTGTCACACTTTAAATCCTCATTTAAAGGATGAGGTGCTGCTGGACTGGGCCCTTTGCATGACAAGGTGTCAGCCCTTTGCTGGTGCACAGCAGGGGCAGGCCCTGAAATTTCTAGTCCAGCGTGAATTGAGGTGTGTGTGTGTGTGTGTGTGTGTGTGTGTGTGTGTGAGAGAGAGAGAGAGACAGAGACAGAGACAGAGACAGAGACAGAGAGAGAGTATGCAAGCCGTTGAGCATGCCACTGAATCCACGTGCGTAGCAGCAAGGCCATGACCAGCATACCTCCCGGGGACAGACTCGTGTTTCAGATTGCAATAGGCCTACTCATCACGTGGCCTTGGACAAGGGTCCGGCCCAGCCCCTGTTTCATTGTCTATCCCGCATCTCCCGTCAGGGTCTCTGGCAGGATCGACTGAGAACCTGGCACGGGTCCCTAGCACACAGTAGATACAGGCTTAGCTTCAACCATCCCTCCAGGCCTCCTCCCCAGTTTATCAAGTGTTGCCTAAGCCCGCTGCTGCTGCTAAACTCGGGTACGTTAGATAAGTGGGGCACGGGTTTGTGGCCCCGCGGCTCCGGGTGGGCACACAGTATCTTTCAGACAAAGAGAAACTTCGGGCAGGGTGGAGCTGTGCCTGGGGAAGATGAAGAGGTTATTACTGCCTTGCGATCCCACTTTCTCGCTGCACACAAGCTAGGGAAGTGTGTCTGAGCTCACGTCTGTGAGTGCGTCGTCCGGCGACTTGGTGCGCGTCTGCGTGGACTCATTCGCGGGTCGTCTCCACACGGAACCCAGCAACCTCTCTGAAAACCGACGGCGGGGCGGGGCCAGGTGCGCAGGGGGCGGGAGCCAGGCCCCGCGGGGCGGAGTCCACGTGGATGACGTTCAGGGCCACGCCCCCACCTTGGGACAGACCCGGAAGCGGCGGCACCCCTAGGGGAAGATGGCGCCCTCGGGGCTGAAGGCGGTGGTGGGGGAGAGTGAGTGCCGCCTCCTGGGGGCGGGGGGCCGGGTGCGCACGGACTCTGGGACCCAAGCGGCGGGGAGTTGGGGGCCTGGCTGGGCATCGAGCACCTGACGCTCGAGGGGGCGGACGGGGACTTGGCCTCAGCTGGATGTCCCGTCGCTCCCTTGAGAGAGCGGAACAAAGTTGGGAGACAGAACTCCGGGGACCTAAAGGAATCAGACTAAGGGTGGCGTAGACAGGCGCTGGGCAGGGACTCCTGGGCCCCCTAGGGTGCCAGCGGGGGGAGGGCACACCTGGACATCCAGACTCCCGGATCTCAGCCGGGCGAAGTCCGGCGAGCTGGACTCTTGGGGCCCCTGGTGCGGACGGGGTCCGGGCCTGGGTGCGCTGGTCAGCGACCCCAGGTGGTGAGAGTGCTCAGGCGACGCGTCCGGACCCCTATCCAGGTCCATGGGTGGGGGACGCCTTCCTCCTTGCCCGGTCGCTAAGAACCCCATGCAGCTAGAGGACCCAGGCATCCAGGCCCCGCAGGCTGGGTTCTTGGGGGAGGGGTGGAGGTCGCCCCCTCCCCCACCTCCGGTAGTTCCGGCCTCAGCGACTCCTTCCGCCCTGGCCGTCCTGATAACTGTGGACACGACACTCTTGCCGGGCGGGGCTGCCTATCCACTCCCTCCACTAGGCAGGGGCCAGTGTGGCTGAAACCCCCAAAACCCCAACTGAAAAAGGAGTCTCCTACATAGGAGTTAATGGGGAGATAGGAGAATCGCTGATTCCATTATACAGATGAAGAAACTGAGGCTGGATGTTGGGTAATGGGATGACCACAGCCAGGCATGCCTCAGACCAGGGATCCAGGGGTCCTGTGTTCTGGTCCAGGGGAAACTGATGGAGGTCGAATGAGGGTGTGGCTGAAATATACAGGCCAGGAGTACTTGAGTAGCAGATAGGGAGGCTGAGAGCCCAGCTCTGGAGGCAGGTAGACCTGTTATGTGAGTCTTGGCTTTCCAGTTATTCGTTTATCTAAAGCATAGTTATCCAGTGGCTACTTATTGCCTCAGGCACTCGCCACTTAAGTGCTGAGGGTACTTATGCAACTTACTTCTCTTCTCTGAACCTCAGGGGCCCTGTCTATAAATTGGGGGTGACTAGGAGCTACCTCACAGGACTGGGGGGAGGAATAAATGTGAGTTCAGATGGAGGTCCAGCCCGGGACCCAGAAGGTTTGGGGGCACGGTGGGACCAGAGGAGCTGGCATCCTGAGCCTGCCCCTCACTTCCCCGCAGAAATTTTGAGCGGAGTCATTCGGAGCGTCAAGAAGGATGGGGAGTGGAAGGTAGGGGTGAGACAGAATGCCTTGTCCAAACCCATGTGGGGGACCCTGAATGTGAGACTCCCTCCAACTCCTTAAGGAGGTTGCTGGTCCACAGAGGTGGGGTCAGGCGGGCCAGTCTGGGATGCGGTGGGTTGGGGATGGGGTCCTGGGTCCTTGTGTTCAACCAGCTCTTGAAGCTGTCAGGCCTGCCCACTGCCCCAGCCCCTCCTCAGGGACAGGTTCAGCCTCTCCCACCCTCTTGTCTGTCCGCCGGTCCATCTGTCCATCCACCTGGACAGGTGCTCATCATGGACCACCCGAGTATGCGCATCTTGTCGTCCTGCTGCAAGATGTCAGACATCCTGGCTGAGGGCATCACCAGTGAGTGGACACTCCCACCCCATGCTGCCCAGATGGGACCTGAGTGTGGGATCCCCTCAAATTCTCCAGAGCTCCCAAATATGCAGCTCACTGCACAGACAGCCCTGATTTGGGAGCCCATGGTTGTGCAGCCCCTGTATGTGGAACACCATGTAGGACTCTCAGTGCGTGACGTCCAGAATGGATAACTTTCTATGGGCGATCCCCAAGGGGTATGACTATGTGACCCCCGAATGTGCAGGACCCTTATCAGACCCTTACGCTCTTAGCTGTGTGACCCGTGGGTGTGCACCTCCTGCTTTGGACCCTTAGGGAGTGCAGTCCCCCTGCTTCACTCCAGGATCTGACCCTCCTTCCCAAGTGTCCAGCTCCCTGAGTCAGAGACTCCCCATGTGCCCTGGCCCCACTGCCATCATGTGCCCCTTCCTTTGTTCCTACTAGTTGTGGAGGACATCAACAAACGGCGAGAACCCATCCCCAGTCTGGAGGCCATTTACCTGCTGAGCCCCACGGAGAAGGTGCCTATGTGAGCGGGTGTGTGCGCGCATGTCTGCAGTGTATGGGGGACAGGCAGCTGGCTGGAGGCTGGGGCAGGGTATGGTCAGTCTAGGGGCCAGGCCTGGAGAGTGATCCGCATTCCTCAGTCGGTGCAGGCCCTGATCGCAGACTTCCAGGGGACCCCGACCTTCACCTACAAAGCGGCACACATCTTCTTCACCGACAGTGAGTGAGGAGAGCCAGTGGGGTGGGGGTCAGGGCGAGGGGGTGTGTGGGCTGCCCTGGCCTGATGCCCCCTCTTGCCCACCCCAGCCTGCCCCGAGCCCCTGTTCTGTGAGCTGGGCCGCTCCCGGCTGGCGAAGGTGGTGAAGACGCTGAAAGAGATCCACCTTGCCTTCCTCCCGTACGAGGCTCAGGTACAGCCCAGCCTAGTCCTGGGAAGGGGTGGGGGTCTGTCACCAAACGTCCCAGGTTCCCTCAGAAACAGGCACCGAGACAAGTAAAGGGGACACTGAATCAGAAAGCAAAGGAGCCAACACCGGGCGGAATGAGCTCCTAGCGCTGTGGCATCCGGAGTACTGTCCCACTGGGTAACGGCAGGGGGCAGCATAGAGCTCACCTCAGCGTCGTCCCAAGTTGGAGAGGACTGAGGTATTTCTCCACCTCCTTCTCTAGACAGGAGTTGGGGGCTGCCCCAGGCCTGCCTCCTAGATGGCAGAGCAGGCTCCAGAGACCAGAGGAAGCCCCAGGGAGTGGCAGATGGCGGCTGCTGGAGTTGGGCAAGGCTACACCTCCAGCGGCGGCTCTGTGCCCTCCCAGGTGTTCTCCTTGGATGCCCCGCACAGCACCTACAATCTCTACTGCCCCTTCCGTGCCAGCGAGCGGGCACGGCAGCTCGAAGCGTTGGCCCAGCAGATCGCCACCCTGTGCGCCACACTGCAAGAGTACCCGGCCATCCGCTACCACAAGTGGGAACCCCACCTGGATGCCACCCTCTGACCTTGACCCCATCCTGTTTCCAACCCCAGCCCCAGTCCTCACCCTGGTCCCTAACCCCATCCCCGACCCCCAGTCTGCGCCTGGCCCTCCCCAAGCCCACGCCCTGAGCACCCCCCACATCTGCCCACCCCACCCCCAGGGGCCCAGAGGACACGGCCCAGCTGGCCCACGCCGTCCTAGCCAAGCTGAACGCCTTCAAGGCAGACACTCCCAGTCTGGGCGAGGTGAGGGGGCTTTCTGGGGAGGTGGGGGGAGGGCCCAGCCAGGGTCAGGGTCAATGTCCTCATCCCTGCCCACCCCCTCCACCCCAGGGCCCTGAGAAAAGTCGCTCACAGCTCCTCATCATGGACCGGGCGGCCGACCCCGTGTCCCCACTGTTGCACGAGCTCACCTTCCAGGCCATGGCCTATGACCTGCTGGACATCGAGCAGGACACGTACAGGTGGGTGGACCCCGGGACTCGCCATCTGCCATCACTGCGGACCTGGGTCCTCAGCCAGTGCGCCCGACGCTCATGTCTCCTGCTCCCCCAGGTATGAGACCACGGGGCTCAGCGAGGCCCGGGAGAAGGCCGTGCTGCTGGACGAGGACGATGACCTGTGGGTGGACCTGCGGCACATGCACATCGCAGATGTGTCCAAGTACGGGCACGTGGTGGGCGCCGGGGGTATGGGCCCTTCCGCACGCGGTCCCCACCCCCTCCCACCCCTCTGTGGACTGGGTACATGGCCTCCCGCTGTGGGTGAGCGCCCCTCCACGAGCCACACCCCTCCGCTGGCCTCCCCGGTGCGTCCCCAGTGTGGGCTCGCACGTGGCCTGTGTCTCCTGGCTCCCATCCCCTGGCCGTGCAATGCCCCCCAACTCTGCCGTCAAACTACGGTCTTGGCACCCGTCCCCATCCTGCCCCCTGCCCACTCTCACTGCCAGGAAGGTCACGGAGCTCCTGAAGACATTCTGTGAGAGCAAGAGGCTGACCACAGACAAGGTAGGGTGTGGGCCTGTGTCAGGGTGGGCAGCTTGGGAGGAATGCCCCTCCCCCCCAAAGATGGGGGCGGGGCCTCAGTCTGGATCCCTAGCCTGCAGCAGGGGCCTCCGGTAGGCAGGGCCTGGCTCACGCTCCTTCCTGTCCCCAGGCCAACATCAAAGACCTGTCCCACATCCTGAAAAAGATGCCACAGTACCAGAAGGAGCTGAACAAGGTGAGCGGGGGCGGGGAACCTGCCCCCTCCAACTGCCACCCCGTCTCCACCCTGGCTCACCTCTGTTACCCCAATTCCCACCTCTGCTCCTCAGTATTCTACGCACCTGCATTTAGCTGATGACTGCATGAAGCACTTCAAGGGCTCTGTGGAGAAGCTGTGCAGTGTGGAGCAGGTGGGGTGAGCCCAGGGCAGGGGTGGGGTCTGTGGAGGGGAGGCTGGGCGTGGGGGGCGGGGTCTGTGGAGGAGGCGGGGTCTGTGGGGAGGCAGGGCCTGTGAGGGAGGCGGGGCCTGTGAAGGGGCGTTTTCTGGGGTAGAGTATGGCTTGTGGGGGTGCCAGGCCCGTGGAAAGGTAGGACCAGGGTAAGGGGCGGGGCCTATGGAGAGGTGTGGCCTGTGTGAGGGGTGGGGCCCGTGGGGAAGAGGCTGGGGCTGCGAGGGGGTGGAGCCTATGGAGAGGACGGGCGTGTGCGAGGGGTGGGGCCTCTCTGCGAACACGTGTAGAACCTTCAGAGACCTGGTGGTCAGATGAAATGAAGCCCAAAGGTCTTGCCGAGCCCCCTGGGATGGTCCTGCCCCACCCCGTCCCCCCACATAGTGGCTGACCCCCATGCCCCACAGGACTTAGCCATGGGCTCTGACGCAGAGGGCGAGAAGATCAAGGACGCCATGAAGCTGATCGTGCCGGTGCTTCTGGACGCCGCAGTGCCAGCCTACGACAAGATCCGGGTTCTGTTGCTCTACATTCTTCTACGGAATGGTGGGTAGGGGGCAAGGGGGGGCCTTGGTATACCGCCACTCACCGCGGTCTCCAGTGATCCTGGGACTCTCTAAACCCCACAGTTGCCCTGCCCTCGGGATGCCCCCAAACCCCACAGATACCCCTGTGGACCCTGGGCCTCCTTCCATTGGCCTCCGTTGGCATGGAGAGCCTGCAAATCTATGACGTCTCCAAATTTGGCCCCCAGTCTACTACCCGCTCTGGGATTCGCATCCAGAATTCTAACATCAGGAACGCCCCCGCGCCAGCCTGGTGGCTCCCCTGGTCCCGAGGGTCTCTGAACTGTAGGCTGCTCCTGTCATGGTTCTGCCACCTCCTCACCCCACCGCAAGCCCCTCAACCCAGAAATGTGCATGGCTACCTCTGTCCCCCCACCCTCCCCTCCCCCGCAACCCCATGAGCATCCCATCCACGTCAGCCCGCCCATCGGCCTCCTCCAGGTGTGAGCGAGGAGAACCTGGCCAAGCTGATCCAGCACGCCAACGTGCAGGCACATAGCAGCCTCATCCAGAACCTGGAGCAGCTGGGTGGCACTGTCACCAACCCCGGGGTATGCTGGGGCAGAGACTGGGGGGGAGGCGGATATGGGGGCAGCCTCATCCAGAACCTGGAGCAGCTGGGTGGCACTGTCACCAACCCCAGGGTATGCTGGGGCAGAGACTGGGGGGGAGGCGGATATGGGGGCAACCTCATCCAGAACCTGGAGCAGCTGGGCGGCACTGTCACCAACCCCGGGGTATGCTGGGGCAGAGACTGGGGGGGAGGCGGATATGGGGGCAGCCTCATCCAGAACCTGGAGCAGCTGGGCGGCACTGTGACCAACCCCGGGGTATGCTGGGGCAGAGACTGGGGGGAGGCGGATATGGGGGTGGGGCCGCCTGGGGAGCGGGCACTGAGTCAGAGGGCAGTGACTGGGGGTGGAGGGCACGTCACCAGGGCAGGGGTACGCAGGGCATGATGTGGTTCTTGGAGGACAGGAGGCTTGAGTGGGGTCTGGGGACCGGGGGGCACTAGGGCTGTCCCCAGCCTCGGCGGTCATAGGAGAAACAGGGCGGGCAAGGCATAGTCAGAGCCCCAGTCCATGTGGTCCGAGTCCCGGGGGCGGAT